TTCTGACACAGAAATACTTTATGGAAGTTCCACAGAGAAGATCCTTCTGCACAAAGCTCTCCGTACAGATGCACAGAGGCAAAAAGAAAACACAAGACTAACAGAGTTGAGTTACACTGGAGATGGTTTTCTGAATCCAAGTGCTAGAGCTGTGAATAGTAAGCAGCACTCTGGCACTAGATTCAGGGAATACTGCTCTTTCCTTAGTTATGCTTCAAAAGTCTTTTGAAAGCTCATAACATCTCCTGGTTTTGGGCTGTGAACTCCCACTTGAGAAGCAGCAGGCACGTTTCTGAGAAGGACAGAAGGATAGGATAATGCCTGGCTGCTGCGGCCACAACTGTAGGAACACAAAACCTCCTTTCTGCATCGCACAGGTCCTTTGCTGAGCCTGTGGATTATAATGCTCAATAAAATGAGCAAACTCTCTCAACTGCTCCACTCCTCCCTTCCCAGGAGCCACTCTAGCCACCGTAACAACAACTAGAAAGCCCTAGAAGACTACAGATTTTGTTACACGCCTGTTATAAATCCCTACAAGTCTTCTCAACTGCATTATCCACGATTTAAGCCCCTCATTGGTGTAAGGGCATCCCAGCACAGCCATTGTATTGCTACACTCACTGAGTTTGAAGCTTGCAAGACTCAAGCAGGGAATCCACAGATGCAGGCACTTTGCCTGATACATAACCTGCCCATTCAGAAGATGATGGTAAATGTGTCTCTTCTCTCTGACTCTCCAATAACCAGCTCTCCCCAATATCACTCCTTGCAAGTCCTGTTGTATTGCATTATGGGTATAAGTTCGAAGCATACCAGATGATTCACAAAGATCAGAGACGGAAATCATAATTCCAATTTATTTTGCTGAGCTTTAAGCTTTTATTTTATATTAATGGGTCATTTTGGAAATAGCCTTAATTTTCACTATTTGAAGATGAAAAATAGATGAAGGGTAGTCATGATTATGCTGAATAATAAAGGACTCACATGCTTGCGTAGCACTGTTATTAGTTAAAAGTCAGAATAGTCAAAACTACCTACTAGTTGTAACGACTGATGAACAAAAGATAATGACAATATATTTGATTGATATATAATGCTCCATCTACTGAGCAAACTATTAAAAGAAGGAATAGAGTTAGATTAAGAATTTGTAACCTGTAAGAAATCCAGCATTTGCCTTTGTCCTAAATTTGGATGAAAGGATTAATTAGGATTTCCATGGAATAGAAATTTTAAAACTTTTAATTCAGAAACATCCAAAACACATTATTTTTCATGTAACAGACCCATTCCATTACATTCAGCTAATATGAAACTTTTTGTTTCAAATCAGATCCTTCTTAAGCACCAATAGCAGCACACTTCAACATGCTCAAAACTCAGACTCTTTCCTATCTTTGCTAGACTGCACCTTCCACAATATTCATAGTCAGGTGATACCCATGGTACATGTTTTTACAGAGGACGCTTGCATCACGGAGGTAAATGCAGACTGCTGCTAGAATATAATGGGAACCCAAAGCACAGTTCCCACAAAGCAATACTATGATAGAGAAAGAGGATTAGAATTTTGTCGGACAGCATAGCTAACCAAAAATGCTTGAAGCCAGTTCAGAATCTCTGACTCTGCTTCAAAGTGTGGGAAGTCCAGCCCTGGGGTTCAAAATAACATGTTCAAACAGAAAGGCCTGTAACCCAGTGGCATGTGCTGTCATCTCATCTCAGGTTTTCTCCTTTCCATCTCAAGCATTGCCAGTGCTACAAAGTGGAAATGACACACGGTTTTCCAGGCCTTGATCCTTCCCCTGGCCATGTAACACAACATGAGAGAGGTTCATAGGTGTGACACTCCCATAACCTGTGGGACAGGTTAGGATATGTTGTGTGATCCTGGCTTAATTCAGCAAAACCACTCAAATTCAGCTTGAAGTGAATCAATGGTTTGGATTTTCCTGACTTCTTTTTTTCTCATATCATCAAAATTTTTCTTGGGGAAATCTGACTTTGTAAAAATTCTGCTTTTCTTTAGAAAAATCCTACTGACGGAAAACTCCCACGTAGATATAGCAGTGACCTCAAAGATAACCATCCATGTCCACACTGTCTTTCAACCACTCTTCTCCCCATCACTTGAAAAGCAACAGCCCTCGTGCTGCCCAGGACAGCCTGGCCTCACCTAGTTAAGGGGGAAGGTGAGTTCTGCAGCTCAGATATTCATTCTTCCCACTGCTGTGGCAGTAGCAGGGTGAGTGGAGAGGTGGTGATCAGGGGTATCTATACAGGGCTACAGGAGTATAATCATCCAGGACAGATTTAGAACTATTTGATAGCAGCATGCACACCTATTACTTAATAAAGTTACCAAACGTAGGGCCACCAGATTAAGTACTCTCATAATAGTAATTAGTTTTTCATTTTTTAATACTCAAGCAGAAAAAAGTGAAGTGGCTGTTCCAAGGCCACAAAAGCCTGATGATGAATTTACCTACTGCATCTCCTGAGCACCTGAGAAATCCTGGGGTTGTAGCTCTACCTCTGTGATCAAACCATTGAGTCAACACCATTCCCAGATACCAGAATCATGGCAAGTCTTTTGACACTAGCAGGGAATGAAATTGTACAACATACACATCTGCATGCTTTCTGCACACCCTGTATCGATGTTAGGCAGCCTGGATGGATACTTCCCCACTTCTTCATTTAGATGTTTAACACATCCACTAGAAATAGAGTTGCAGGATGAACACCTTTTGGAAACGCTTTTGCTACCTGCCGTCTCTGTTACGTGATATTTAAACCCTTTTCCCCCGCATACCCAGGGCTGTGGTTGGGTATGATGTGCACTGCAGCAGAGCCCTGGGAACTGTGCATTTTCTTGACTCAACCAAACTCTTCAGCCCTGTTTGCTACCCACTTGCTTGGGCTCAGCCTTCAGCTCCATAGCTCACCCTCGGGCACAGCACACTCAACTCTCCCACTCTTGAGAATAAAAGCATTTTGGTGTCTCAGTCACCAGCCCAAGCTGATGACAGGGTGAGAGAAATCTCCACTTATTCCTTTCCCCCATCTGTTACACGTTAACAGGCAATCAATTAGGGAACCACAGGGAGAATATGGCTGCGATGGGGAGAGGGAGATGGAAGGAAGCACTCTCCCTTCTCAGGATGAACTCAGTTGACATATCACCCAGGCTGACACAGACACCAGTTACTGCCACCCTGCATAATTTTCTTTTGATTTTCTCTGAAAGCTCTTCAAAAGTTCCTAGGTCTTTTTCTCTCTCTCCAGGTTAGGCCTCTCTTCTGCTCTGCCACAGAGATGCTCCAGTATCACTCCCACGAGGGGTTAGTTTTTCAGTCTCTCCCTACATAAGGAGCCCCTAGGGCTTTGCTTTGGACTATTACCTTATCCCTCCTTTAGCACCTGAACGTGCCAAAAAGAAACACTGGGAATGTGTCCAAGTGGTGGAGGAGGGACAGAGTCAGTGCTGACAGTCAGAAGTCCAAGTAAAAGTTCACATTCAATCATAGGAGATTCAGCAATGATAGATCACAGAAACCCTGTCAGGGAACAGGCCAATACCCTAAAGACAGCCATACTTTCCACACAGCATAATAAAAGAGGACGAGTCAGTGGGGCAATACAGAGTGATTATTTCCACAGCTGGATAACAGTAAGGAGAGACACCTAGAATCTAAGAAATTAAGCTAGAAATAGTGAATTCTGCAGAGACCTAGGCTAAACTGCACCTTGTACTGCTCTGTCCACTCCACGGTTGAACATTCCCAGTGGCCGAGTGTAACCAGGCCCATTCAATGATCAAATGACCTGGAAATGAACCATGAAAACAGGAGTCAAGGACGTGTTGGTGTGGTGGATTGAGCCCAGCCAACAGCCAAGTACACACACAGCTGCTTGCTCACTGGACAACTGTCCCCATCCATGGTTGGGTAAACTCAATACACTTTCCACTGGAAGGTGAATGATCCTGTTCTTTTTCCAGTTAGACAGTGTAGGAGATAAAGGGAGAATATGTTCGTCCAGGCATGTTTGCTCACACAGGGCCTGCTTGTGTAAGTACACCCAAGCATCCATGGATATTGGAGCTCGCCTGCATGCACTCCCACTTTTGGCTATGCTGTTGTACTTGCATGTATGCGCATCTGCAGCATACCTTTGTCAGTCAGGACACAGCCATACCCCTCATATGTGAATTGTACATGCAGGAGGAAGGCACTGCAATTCATCTACACATACAGGCACTGAGGTTTTCAAAATCACCTGAGGAATGTCTCATCCTTAGTAAGACTAACAAAAACTGGGTATCTGTCTCCTTCAGTGCCTAATTTTTTTAATCTTCAAAGAAGTTGCATCTTAATGAAAAGGGCTGGTGGAGCTGGAAAAGGAGGAACACAGGACTGACTCTCATCCAACCGACCTGTCCAGCCTTGTGGTGAGGTCTGTATTGGAGTCCATGGCCACAAATTAGGACTGGCAGGATGGAGTGAGAACCTCTCTATTCCTGTAATGCTGGAGCTTTCACCTCAAGGTGCAGACATCTCTAAAGAGAAGCCATATCTAGGCAGGGGCATCTGCTCTTCAAATGAGCCTTAAAACCACCCTTAGAGTGCAAAGCATTTCCTTTCCAGGCCTCACTCCACTAGCAGCCACATTATCAGGGCATCACTGCCACTAGCAGAGGCAGGAAGATCCACTAGGCCAGATACCTGGATCTGGTAACCAGCCAGACTAGGAACTTCGCAAAGGTTCCTACCACCACAAAGCCTAACTTTATGTCCAGGTTGATCTGGACGGACCAGAGCTGGGCAGGAGAAGAGAGGAGGCATACAAAAGGATGGACGGTTAGGTGCACTACATTCACCCTCCCTTGCCCCCTTTTATATCACATGGAAACACTGCAGTCTCTGCAATGTCTGGGGCCGCCTTCCTTTATTGCTATAGAGTGAATGACTCAGTTTCCCTTCCCACCATACCTTGAATAGTCCTCTTGAAGAAGGCTTTGCACGCCTCACAGGAAGCCACGCCGTAGTGGTACCCAGAAGCAATGTCCCCGCACACCAGGCACAGCCGCTTGGGGATTGCATTGAGCATGTATTCGCATTTGGTGGGCGAGTCCTCCATGATGGCACTGGCGCAGTCATCATAACGCTTACGGCAGGACCCACCACCAATCCCTGTGCCATTGAACATGGGTGGCGAGTCTAGGCTGGGGGGGGGGGAGCCGCTCGGGCTGTGGTGGCTGATGGCGTCGATGCCAGAAGACGGGCTGGAGGGCTCGGTCTTGATGAAGGACCCACAGCTGGAGGAGAGGTGCCGCTCCTCTGTGGCCATTCTGCCGAGCAGCCTGCAGGGAGAGAGCAAAGGCACTCAGTGGCCTCCTGGCCAAACCCAGCTCCAAGTTGGTGAAAAGAGAGGTCTCCCACCTCAGTTCAACTCCAGTTGGCTCAGGCAGTTCAACACCACTCCCCACCCTGCCCCCAGTACTTCTCCTTCATGAACCTAGTACAGCTCTCTACAAACACCCCACTACTCCTCAAACTCACACTGGAATAAAATCAAGAATACTCGCATATATCACAGTTTCAGGCTGCTCACAGGCTGCAGTGCTGGCAAGGGGCATCAGTGCTGATGAGGCACAGTCTGCCCCTGGGACAGCAGAAAGAAATGAACCTGTTTGTGGCGGGCCAGGTGAAAAAGATGTTTGGTTAGTTCAGGCTGTGCTGCCCTAGCTCTAAGAAAAAAGTTCACTAGCAGACCGTGCAGGAAGGACCTGCTCAGATTGGATTTTCATTTGTAATACAGAAGTCTTCGATAATTTTCACATTGGATTCCTTCCCCCTCGCTTCACCATCATCACTAAAAGGGGAGCTCAGAAACTGAAGGAAAATCATCTGATCAAAAGTTACCCCCAACTTTATCTTAATTCTTAATCTTTCTTCTGTTTACTAGTATAAGGCTTTTCATGCAGGCGCTTCTCAAATTCTCACTTCTTAGAGTTATGCTCTTAAGTATATGGAAAAGACTGCGCCTTTATCAAATTTGCAACGTCTTCTTATTTATTGTAGTCACTCCTTATATAAATGTTCAGTCTTTTTTTAGAACACTGCTATTTTTTATGACATCTTATGGCAATGAGTGGTATATGAACAAACAAAAAACACCACTTTTATCTGCCCATACTGCATTTGCAGCCTTTCAGGCTCCCTGAACATCTCCTGACTCTGCTTCTCAGGAAATGTACTTTTGCCACATTCTCCTCATTCAGCTCTTCATTATCCATATAATTGTTCTTCATGCAGAAGTTTTTGCAGACCTCTTCTCTGCTTCATCATCCATCTCTGAACTTCCTCTAGTCTGGCTATTTCTGTTCAGTCCAGAACAGAGTTCAATGAGCCAGCTCCTCAGCAGCATGAAACTGGCACTGCTCCATCACTTCTCCAGCTGAAGGTCTGGACAGTAGTCAAGACAAAGGCACGCCATCAATTACCTACTGACATTACCATATTTTCAATGTTATTTTCAGCCTATTATATAACTCTTTATATTGTTTGCTTTTTTTCTCATTAAATGAAAATCTAAATTGTTACCATTTCTTCAACAGAGAATATCAGCAAGTTACTTACTGCAGTTCTCAGATCTTTCCTGAGTTGCTACAGTTAATTTAGCATGCATTAAGATGTATGAAAAAATCAAATTAATGCCTTCTGGTGTGCAATGTTTTGCAATAGTCAACAGTGTATTTCATCTACCACTGCGCTGTCCACTGATGCAGCTTTATTAGGATCCTCTGGAGTTCTTTAGTCTTCCTTGATAATTTGATGTCATCTGCAGAGTCCCATTGTTCACCCACTCCCCAGATCATTAACACATGGATCAAACACCACACCACTGATCTTTGTGAGTGATTCGTGTTAACCTTTATCATGCTGAAAATTGACTTCTATTTCTTTTCTAGGTAGGGTATGTCTACCCTTTCTTTTCTGTCTCAGACACTTTTTAATTGATAGTAGTATTAACCTGAGAGGTTAAGTTTTCCCTTCAGTAAGACAATTTGTCAAAGGCTTTTAAGAAAACCTAAATACATGTATTTTCCTGATGATATGTCCAAAGAATTCTGACTGACTGGGGATTCTTGACTTTTCTTCTTGGAAGCTCTGCTGGTTTAAAGTTACCATACCATAGCCACGTGGGTAACTTCTAGTTAATTTTCAGCCCATTCACCTGGTATTCGTGGCAACTCCTTCTGCCAAGAGGTCAAACTCATCAGGGGACAGAACAAAACATTCTGTGACACAGCAAGGCTGGAGTGCACACATCTGTGTGTCTGTCGATATGAAGGTACGTGTTTGATATGCAGCAACTTCACTGTCCTGTACCCGTATGATCTCCTAATTTTCACTTCTCTCTTTCCTCCTCAGTGTTTGACCTCATCTCCTATCTTTGGGATCGATCAGTCAAGTTTGTTATTTGGCAAGATTGTTGACCTTGAGAGTATGGGCAGGCATCTCACGTTCCTCGGCTGCTTTACCTGGTGTTACTTGAGAGGAATCTAGAGTTTGGTCCCTCTCAGATACAGCGTGATGAGTTGATGAATGCCCATGCTTTGCCCAGAGGGTCACACTGGACTAGGGGCCATGGAGCAGTTACAGAAATAATTCCTGCAGGTGCATTCACCTTTAATCCTACAGGACACCTAGATAGACTGCAGATCTGGTGTAATGCCAGATGACTGTGTGGAGGAAGATGAAGCTTTGCTAGCTGAGACCAGATCTTAGCATCTCCCAGCAAAGCTAAAAGCTGCTGTGCTGGCCAGATTTTGGAACCTTTCCCTA